CTCCCGAGGGAGAAGGGCCGCGCAGTGCCTTTCCCCCCGCCTCACGCTGTCACCCTGCCGGTTCTCGCTGCTGCCGGGAGGCGACGTGTGGGCGGGTGACCGCGCATCCCCAGCACCGCCCTTGTACCCGGCCGGGCGCTCCGCAGGGCCTTCCAGTTGCTGCTGGGGTGACCTCGGTGCGACAATAAAGCTGTTTGGGTTTTCCCCCCTTTTTGTTTTGTCTTTCTGTTTTAGCAAGGTGAGTCCACTCACCCTTTCGACAGACAAGTGCCACACAGATTGGAGATGGAGAGAGATCCTGTAGCCAACAGCGGATGAAGAAAACGGGAGAGCAAAGATGCCTGTGACAGAAAAGTAGACGTGTGAACTCTCCCAGGCATCTGACCGGGGTTAAAACTAAACTATATGAGTTAGATTTCCCACAGATGAGCCTCCTTCACTTCTGGCATCCATTACTACTTTTTACTGGTATATGGGAGGGGCTGGCATGGATTTGGGATAGGAGGTGCTGCTGTTTTGGGGGGCAGCCTTGGCAGCTTTTGTTGTCTAAAGTGGGCGTCTTTTCAAATGCAACAAAAGTGCAACTAAAAGCAGTAGTTCCAGGACAGTGGCCTGGGATTGTGTTACGGCAACCAGACCATCTCATGGCAGAGTTACTACATTCTCTTTCAATCACACTGAACTCTTTACCCATATTTACAGGAGGAGCTGGTAGTTCCCTTAACAGGCCTTAGCTACAGCAGCAAAATTAGCTTTTGGTAATGTGACTTTAACTTTCTTACATTTTTCGTCAGCACGACTAAGTTGGTTAGTGGTGTGACTACTATAATGGTCTCTGCCAGTAAGACTGAATTCTTACTTCACAGATTGAGTCCTACATGGAAAATGAGGAGACATATAAAGAAAATCATTGAGAGTGCAACTTAACTTGAAAGTCTGACTTTATTACTGACAAAGACATTACGCGTATAATTCAAAAGTGTATGTATTTAAAAATTATGTCTCCTACGGAATGTCTCTTTTCAATGAGCTCTGCATAATAAATTTTAATGGGGAGGATGGAAAATTCTGGTTATGGATAGGTGTCATTAAATGATTTAATTTTTTTTTCAACATTAATTTGAATTGGCCTAGATCCAAATGCTTATACTTGGATTGAAAACTTCAAGAAAATGTAATGATTTACTGAAATATGTTAAGATCTGAAGAAATGTCTGCTGGTGGATTATAAGGAAAAGGATAAGCTTTTCTTATGGGGTAAGCGTGAGCATATAGGTTACCGTTGAGCAACTGGTACTCAAACCTATGGGTTTGACTGGTAGCCACTTAGAACTAACTAATTTCCTTACCTCCTGTTGTCACAGTAATCTCAGTACTAAAAAAGAAGAGTGTGACTCCCCATGACTTGAAGTTTGTTTGGGCATCTGTCCTCTGAGGATGTCAGGCCCATTGCTGATACTGCACACCTATGTAATCATGACTCAGACTTCTGAGGAAATTGCTGAGTTTTGGGGAAAAAAAACAAACAAACAAACTGACAGGAAGTCTGAAGAGGAGATTCATGTGAGATGAGAAAGCTAAAGTTACAGACAGGGTAAGACAAAGAAAAGCACTGACATGGGCAAGTATAAAATCATAAAAAAAAACGGGGTGTCAGAAGATGGCACGACTGTGGCTGTGTACCAGGGAGTGCAGGAACTGCCCCTCCTCCTCCTGACTCTTGCCTGCCCGACTAGCAGAGACTCTGCATGTGTCTTATAAAAAGGCGGTAAGCATATTAATGCCTAACCTAGTAGTGATCACTTGTGTATGATAACTAATAAATAAATTTTGTACTTCTAAACTAGGTATATCCTGCTTGCAGAACCACTATGCTTGGCTAGGGTGTCCAAACAGGGACACAAAGAGAAATTATTACAGGAGATAGAAACTCACAGGTAAAGCAAATGTAAGAATTGTCCCTTCAAAAAGTGAGCTCAGAAGAACACAGGTGCTTCCAGATAAAAAAGCCCAACTGGTTTTGGAGGGGGACTGGTGACTTCATAGGGTAGAAGTGGGGTGGGGAATTAAGGTGGAAATGTCTAGCTGCAAAGGAACTGTGGGAGAAACGATGTTTTAACAAAGCTGGGGATGTCTTGAGACTCGTAAGAAAACAGTAGCAGAAGGCTTTCAGAAGGCAAAGTTCAACAGCTGGCTTGGAAACCAGCTGTGATACTAATAGCCAATTTTATTAAATTAGAGTTAGCAACCTCTAGCAAAGATCTTCTCCAAATGATATAGACGTAATACTGAAATATTTAATGAAAAGGGGAAAAATAAAACCAAAATTAAGTTCACCTTGTTGAAAGGCAAGGTGAGAATAGATCCAGTGCATAACTGAGTCATGACTGGAGTCTTTCTAAGGTGAATTTCCAAAGAAAATTTTTTGGGAAAAATACTTTTTAAAAGTATGTATTTTGTGAATGATACCTACAACAAAGGCTAAAAAAATAAAGACTTAGTTTTACTGTAGATAAATGTGCAGGTGAAATGCAGTTTGGGCATCAATTGAGAAGATAATTTCTCAGAGTAGGGAGTGCAGTTATTTTTTTCATTAATTTTTTTTTTTCCAGTTCCTGTCCTGATTATTTTCAAGTCTCTGGGAAACAAATACAAAACACCAGGACTACATCTTTGCTAGTGAACTTTGTTAGAAAATGGTAACATCACTAAAGCCAAGGCAACAGTGAAGGAACAGTCCACAATTAAGAGTGGGCTTGAATTTTATAGAATAGGTACAGCTTGCGTTAATTGCTGCGTTTGTCATTGCCTATAAAAAGAGAGTCAAATTCCAGAGAAAGCAAAAAAGAGAAGAATTTTTGATTACTGAGAAGAAGAGCTAGATTCATGTACTTGAAATTAAAAGTTCCAGAAAGCTATACCAGATTCGATCCAAAAGTGTGAAGAGGAAATGAAAATGATGATATATCAATGTCAGAAAAACACCCAAAAGTGACAAAGAAAGTAGATTAAAATGCTGCTCAAGAAAACAATTAAGTTTAGTTACTATAGTAATTACCGTGGCATTATATTATTAATTGCTACTTACCAGTTTCTATCTATTCTTTTGATTAAAAGATGAATAATTGCAGTGTCTCCCAGTATTTGAAGATGAGCCTCTCAACACTATGTAAGCAGAAGAAAACCATCATTATCATCTGGATAGACATTGCATCATTATTTTGACTGCATTTTAGAAATCTAAAATCTGTTATCTATTAAATGGAAGACTTTAACTGGTGAATAACCCTTTATCACAGAATTTTGTCTAAAGGGGGGAAACCCATGAAACTACTTAATTTAAATTGTCCTTAGAAATGCTCAAGAAGTCTTTTATGTGTCATATTCTATGAAATAAGAACCTGTCTTAAGCTGCAATTTGGAAAGCTGGAACATAAGTTGCCAGAAGTCCATTGAACAATGGGCTTTCCAGATGCAGCCCTATAATATGGCCTCTCAGATGGAATCAGAAAAAAAAAAAAAGATAGAGACAGTTTTCCTATTTAGTTGATTTAAGCCAAGCAAATTATTCAAGGCAGAGGCTAACAGTCTCCGCCTTTCTGAACAGAAAGGTACTATCCTAAATAGTACTTGAGTAGTATGTAGTAGTTGGTTAGATGTGCTGAACCTTACCAGAGGTTCAGTCCAAGCCTGAAGGAAATTTGAGTTTAGTCATATCATAACGGTGTATACTAGCTTTATATGATACACTTTGCAAGCTAAACAGCCTGTAGTTGATTTGAGCAGTGAGTCTGTGATTGACATAGGTAAGTAAACAAAACATAATTATTGTGGAGACTTACTGACATTGTGTAATTTAAGGCTCCTTAAATAAAATGATACAATACTGTTTACGAGGAGCACACAACACTAGTTTTTCATGATTGTGTTGATTAAAGTTTGTCTTTATCTTGATTTCTGTCTGTTCCTTTCTGCCTCCAGTTTATCACTTGGGTGCCACTTAAATTCACTTTGATCAAGCTGAGTAGGCAAGGTACTCTTCTTTTTTATTCCGTTGCACCTGTCTGTGCTTTATCTGGAGCATTCTTTTAATTAAAACTGAGTAACAGTAGCTATCAAAAAGACTGAGGGTGAGATTTCCCCTGGGTTGACTCACAGCTGCTATCTAGTCCAAAGATGACATATTCAAGTTACTTTTAAATATTAAAGAGAAGATAATTCTTCCTCAGTATCCAAAGGCCTCATCTATCTAGATTGAACAGAGTAGCATTATTTAAATCATACATTTGATCTGATTTTGCCACCTGGATACTCTACTACGTCAGCCTTTCAGCAGCTTTACATCTCCCACAAGTTTAGCTTGTTTATTTACATATTTATATTATAATCTCGTTATAATATTAAAAGTTGTTTTCAATATTGATTATCACTGTGCCACTGATATGGGAAGTAAGATGAGTTTACTTACCCTTAGTGGTATATAACTGATCACTTCAGACTAGAAAATTTGTCTTCACTGACACTTAGCCTGTAAAGCTAATCTGTGCTTTTCTTTGTCACACGTAGCAAATGTGCCCAGGAGTTAGTTCAAATGGAATGATAGTGAATAGACACTTCCTAGTTTCTACACAAAACCAAACATTTCAGGTGAAGTTATGCTTTATTAAAAATAATTGTCATATATCTTAAAATAAAGCATCACTCTGAAATGAGGATTGAAATTCTTCATTTTGCAAGGTCCACATTAAAGATCTTCTTGCCCTATTAATTTTGGCCATTTTTTTTAATTGTTTAATTTAAAGCAAACTTTGATATTCATTTGCAGTAAGCTAAATCAGCTCATATTGTATCTTAAGATGAAGCGACTCACTCTGAATGGAATGGCCTCTCTTCTTTCAGGTGCACAAGGTGGTT